CCCCTGTCGTAAAACCCCTCGCCTCGGAACTGGATAGCCTAATGGCCTGAATCAACGTGGGGCCCTTTAAAGCAGAGAGGATAGGCCGACTAAGACCAAGTCAGTACATTTAAGTCTGACAGCCCAATGGCCAGACAGCCCAATGGCCAGAGTCAGTAAACTGAACTTAAGGCTGGCCTTTTACTGTAATGCTGGAGAGCTGACTGAGCAAAGTCACAAAGGGAGGGCAGGGGGGAACCCAGGCCCACCCTACTCCACTGAGTCCCAGCCCAGGGCCCTGAGAGTGGCCGAATGGTCCACCACTCCCTCAGCAGGGAATCTGTCCAAAACACGCCAACATTCTCTGGGTGGGAGAGGCTGCTCCTGCACCCTCCCGGCCGCTTCCTACCAGATCCAATGGGTCAGTGTCCCACATAGCAGCTGGGTCCTCTGGCTCCTTGTGGTCCACGTATCCCTGGGAACCTGCGGAGGTTGTGTCCTAGCTGTCATCAGGGCCGCTGCTGTTCTTGGCTCGGGCGGCTGGCTGCTGCTGCTCAGGAGCTACAAACAGAGGTCCTTCTCCTCCGCCAACCAGCCCAGACTGAGCCTCTCCCCAGGCTTTTATACCTGGGCTACAGTCTGAGCATGCCCAACAGAACTGCGGGGGAGGGCTCCTTCAGCCAGGATAGCCTGGCTAAACTCTGCTTGTTCAGTGCAGGGCTGGTACACCCAGTCACAGTGAGAAAAACTGTATTGCCTTTAAGCTACCATCCTTAACAAGCTACATAATTAACTTGCATTTAATCCTTTTATTTCCTTTGTAACCAATTCTGACTTTCATGCCTCATCACTTGTAATCATTTAAAATCTGCCTTTCTGTAGATAAACTTGTATTAGTTTTATCTAAATCCACGTGTGTTTAGATTCAAGAGTTTAGGAATCTTCACTTTAGTTAACAGTGTCTCTGCATATCATTTTCCTCTGATGAAATGACAGGCATTCTGTGAGCTTGCATTTACCAGTACAATGCTGGGCAGTACAAAAGTTTCAGAAGCGTAGCCATATTAGTGTGTAATAGAAAAAACTTAACAATTAATAGTCTTGCAGCACTTTAGAGACTAGCAAAACATGTAGATGGTATCCTGAGCTTTCATGGACACAACCCACTTCTTCAGGGAATATGGGGAAAGGGAAAAGAATAGTCAATTAGAGTTTCCATACTAAATGAAGCTGAGAGAGAGGGTTCCCTCAAGTACCTGGTGTTTGGCTTTTTATGTCTTTTGGATGTATGTAGCAGGTAATCCAATCAAGGTTTTTATTTTTGTAGGTATCCAACTTGTAAATTCTGTAAAAATTCTTGTAAAAACTTCTGAATGTTACCTTTTCAAATATCTGATTTGTGTCCATTATCCTGTGTCACAGACAGAGTCCAGTTTGGCCAATATCCATGGCAGAGGAGCATTACTGGCACTTAATGGCATAGATCCCATTGGTGGATGTGCAGTTATATGAGCCTCTGATGTGGTGGTTTATGTGGTCAGGGCCTGTGATGATGTCGCTTGTATCAATGTGTGGACAGAGTTGGCACTGGAGTTGACTGCAGGGGTGAGTTCCAGGAAGAGTATGATGGAGGTGTGTTGCATGGTTGCTGGAAAGAATTTGTTTGAGGTTAGGGGGGCTGTATGTAAGCAAGGACTGGCCTGTCCCCCACCTGTGAGTGAGGGGTCATTTTCCAGGATAGGTTGTAGATTGCTGATAATTTGCTGGAAGGGTTTAAGTTGGGGGCTGTAGGTGATGACAAATGGAGTTCTGTTTTTTTTTGTAGGGCCTATCTTGAAGAAGCTGATGGCTGGGTACTCTTCTGGCTCTGTCAATCAGTTTTTTCACTTCTCCGGGTGGGTATTTCCGTTTTAAAGAATGCTTTATATAGATCCTATAGGTGTTTGTCTCCGTCTGTAGGATTGGAGCAAATCCAGTTGTATCTTATGGCCTGGCTATAAACAATTGATTGGGAAATGTGTCTTTGATGGAGGCTAGAGGCATGCAGGTAAGTGTAACAGTCAACAGGTTTCTGGTATAAGGTGGTGGAAATGCGTCCATCGTGTAATTGTACTGTAATGTCAAGGAAGTGGATCTCGTGTGTGGACTACTGCAGGCTAAGGTTGATTGTGGGGTGGAATCCCTGTGGAATTCTTCCAGGATCTCCATATGATGAAAATGTCATCAGTGTAGCCAAGTAGAGTAAGGCTGCTAGGGGGCGAGAGCTGAGGAAACGTTCAAGGTCATAAAGATACTGGCATATTGTGGGGCCATGCAGGAGCTCATGGCTGGACTGCTGACTTAAAAGATATAGATTGCCCCCAAATTGGAAATAGTTGCTCAGTTTATGGGAGACATTGGCTACAAACCCACTGAGCAAGGTCTCAACAACACAAATTCTGAATTTGGCCTAGCCACTATTCCATTCTTGCAGGGGCAAGGGGAACCACGGGGCTAAACCTGAGTGGTGCTGCAGCCCCATATACCAGGCTGCAACCCCTGGAGCAGGGAGCTGGGCCCAACCCTGTGGAGCAAAAGCCACTGCTGCAGAATGAGTGCTGGGTGAACTCCATCACCACCACCCCCTTTGGAGCCTCCCCTCTGTACCAGGTAAGGGTTAGGAATGCAGTATCAAGTGCTTGTGTGTAATGGTGGATCACAAAAAAAACAAAAAAGACCAGGGATGTAAATGGTTAACCAGTAAACTTCATCCTTAATGGGTCAGGCTTACTGATTACAGTTAACTGGTGAGGGATGGAGCAATCCCACCCCGCAGGATTTTACATCTCTAGTCTCCACATTCATGTTATGGCCCTATGTCTTATTTACTGTGTGCCGTCCACATTCTATAGGAGTATGGAATGGATTTAATTATGATCTCTGCTGTTGAACTTATCACTGTAGGATCGGTGTGCCTTGAATTCATTCACGTTTGTATCTTTACAGCACCCCTGTGAAATAAGGAGGTATCATTTCTATAACTAGGGGGTGCAAAAGGTGAGTTCAGATTCTTTCACACTTTTGTGAGCATCCCTAAAAAAAAAACATGCAGCTGGTGGGTTGCATTAGTAAAATGTTTGGAAACCACTGATCTAGCTCATCAGCTCAGACAGTTTTGATCCGCTAATAATTTGGTGACCTGTGTGAAATTAGTAAGTGGCCTCAACTTAATTCCCAATGGACAGATGTTACTTGACAAAAATGCTAAAACACAACTGGAATTAAAATCCTTTACTGGTATCCTCAAGCTAACATGAAATAATGAGCAGTTGCCTCATTCTGAGAGCTCCATGAAGTCTATACCTTGAATCAGGCTGAGATCTTGTGGAAAAAACTGTACAGGATCATATACAGACTGATAAGGCATATACATGTGACAAACTTTAATTATGGTATTTCCTCCTTTTTTGGTATTTAAATTTGCAACCCTGCCGTTTTTTAGCCTAAGGGTATGTCTGCACTACAGAGGGTTTTTTTTTTCAGAAAAACAACCAAACAACTGCAATCGCGTTCTTTTGGGGGGGAAAAAAAAAAATCGAAAGAACAGAGGGGTTTTTCCAACATTGGTAAAACTCTTTCTACCAGGAAAAACGCCTTTTCCAAAAGAGCTCTTTTGGAAAAAGGCCTGTGTGGACGGGGAAAAAGGAGTTATTTTGATAGAAGAGGAAAGAGGAAAAAGCACAGGTGCCCTGGTGGCCGCTCCACGCATAGTAATCACAGCTTACATGCGAGATGGCGTCCATTCAATGTGGACACTGTCTGTCGAAAGTTTTGGCAGTGTGGACGCTCTCTTTTCAGAATATCTCTTCCGGAAAAGCTTCTTCTGAAAGAAGCCTGCAGTCTAACATAGCCTAATTTTTATGGAATTTTCCAAGCTTTTAAAGAAGTAAACTAAAAAACAAATTCTATAACGTGCACCACACACAGTTTAACTCCTAGGATCTTTAGTACTGCAGCCTAGAACACTACCACTACAGCTGAAGTACTATCATATTGGTTTGTTAGTGAACCAGTTTCTAAAGAGGAATACATCATGCACTGAAACATTGAGCTGTATGTATAGAAGTCACCCTATTTTGCAGCGTGCACATCTGAGCATACAGAAATAGATTCTTTTAGAAAAGCAGCTTAAATGGATTTGGTTTGGGTTTGCCATATTAGAACCCTGGTTTTTACTTCCGCTCTACTAAACGACCTTGTGCCCAGAAACAGTCAACATCACTGGAGGAAGTAAAATTTAAATAGACAGTGTCCTAGCCCTGAGCTTAGTCTGCTTTTTCCAAGTCTAAAGGATATTTTGAAGGAAAAGGACATGCAGGCAGATTCATGCAACTTTATGCAGCTTGGAAAAAGTTACAGTTGGGACTAACTGAAAATTAATGAGCAAATACAGAACAAGTTCTATTGCAAAATACTCTCTCTTGTATCTTGGCCAGATACGCGTAGGTTTTCATGGAAGTAACAACAGTTATGTCTCTTACCTCAAGACCATTATCTGCCAATTTTCTTCTTTTTTTTCCCCCCACCAAACTACAGGACCACTAGAATTTTTCAAATATCTCTGGAACAAATGTTTTCATATTGGCAAAACTACTTTTCCCAAATCTTGTTCTTGGAAACTTAAGGCCAAGATCCACCATGGAAACTTTCAACCAAAACCATCACATTTTGACAGTTATAAGGAACTAAAAACAGGATTATAGCGGGAAGTGTTAGGCAGTCTTACCTGTGATACTACTCTCTCCACCTAGGATGCTGCCATAAAATTGTAAACATGCAAAATTACATATATATAAAGAGTAAGTCAATTACATTAGTTTTTTGCACTAACTCCTATCCCCATTAAACAACATGCACATCTTTTCTAGCTACCAATCTCAAACATTCAGCAACAATCAAGAGCTAAATTATGTCCAAATATTCCCTTAAGCAGGTACAATAATGCCTCCTGAAATTCCAAGTTTCAAGCCTCTCCTCCTTACCTCTTAGCTTCCTCCAAATGACAAAGATATTCATAAGCCACATTCTGACGTCTTCTCTCATCCATTTCCTCTGCAGTCAACCTCTCATTATCCAAGACAGCTGCAAAGAATCAAAAATACTGTCAGTCTGCAACTCACCTGATATGTAGGTAGAGAAGTGACCCGAGTCACATGCAAAAAATACTCAATACACACTAAGGATGTTAAATATCGATTACCTGAATAGTCGATTAATCTCATGAATTCTTATTGGTTAATCAAACATTCTATAGTTCACTGGCCCCAGGCCGGCAGCCAGTGTGCTCCAGCCCCACTGCCGAGGAGCCCCCTGCCACTCTGTTGCTGCCTCTGTATCAGAGGCAACAGTGTGTGGTGCCAGACCAGAGCTGGTCCATGAGGGGAACAAGTTTAAAAACTGGTTAGTCTATAAGGTGCCACAGGACTCCTCGTCACAGTTTAAAAAACAGCTCTCTTCACAGACCAGCTGCCTGTCACCCAACACTGCTGCCTCTGATACAGAGGCAGCAGCCTCTGTCAGAGGGGTGGCTAAGCTCCCAGACTCAGCATGAGCTGGAACTGAGCCAGGCTGCCTGCCAGCCTGGCTCCGAATACACTTTAAATGCAGAGCCGCAGCAGGGTTAGGACCCGGATCCCGCATAAGCCAGGACTGAGCCGGGCTGCTGGCCAGCCTGCTAAGAAATGTACTGAGGGGAGAAATGTGTATTGTCAATAGCATTAACCCCGTGGTCACCAACCAGTAGATCTCAGGGGCTCTAAGAGTAGCTCTTGAGCCCTCTCTGAACTGCGCACCTGCGCAGTACATTTACATTAGATTTCCTCATGTAATGTAGGCGGGGCTTAAAGGAAGGGGTGGGTAGAAGTAGATCTTCGCCTGTTCTGAGACTTAAAAAGTGTTCTTGGGTGTAAAAAGGCTGGAGACCACTGCGTTAACCTATAAGCTTTTGAATATCGGTTAATTAACTACACTATTACATCCCTAGTGCACACAGCATATTCTCTATTATTATTTGGCTTACAATACTGTATAGAGGCTATAGAGAGCCAATTGTGCTAGCACTATACAAACATATAGCAGGAGTGGCCAAACTTACTGACCCTCCGAGTCGCATATAACGATCTTCAAAAGTTCAAGAGGTACAAGACACACACAACCTGCCAGGATATAGGGCTTCTTCCCAATGCTCCCCCACTGCCATTGGGCAAAAGCCTCTAGTCCCACCACTCTGCCCAGTCTTGTAGGTGAAGAATAGGGTAGGGGTGTTAAATGGTAAGCATATTGGTAAGCAGGAGATTTACTGGTATGCTAACCAGTTAATCCATCCTTATGAGCAAACTCTTGGGGCAGCCAGCCACACTGGGCTGGAGCAGCCCCAACGGGCAGGAATTTGGGTCTCCGTGGCCACGGCCTGGCCAAGCAGAGGGCCAGGCAGCAGGACCCAAGTCAAAACAGCTAACCAGTTAAGCGCTCTTGTTTAATTGGTGAACCATTTTAACATCCCTAGAATGGGGGCGGTATGGGAGGGGCTCCGGGAGCCATACTTTAACAGTGGAAGAGCCACATGGGCTGGCTCATAAGCCATACTTTGCTATGCTTGACAGAGTAAGATTGAGTCCCCAAACAAAAGAGCTTACAATATAATTAGACAAGACAAATAGTGGAAGGAGAAACAAAGCAGAGTGGGCTCGTGGTTTATTTAAGGTCGTACAACCTTAATGACAGAACCAGAAAAAAAACACAGGAATCCTGATTCCCTGTCTAATCCCTTCTCTACTAGACCACAATGCGACACTGCTCTTATTCACCATAACTCCATGCTATAACAAACTAGGGATGTTAAATTTTGATTAATCAGCTAATCGAGTAATCAAAGGAATTTCCATTGATTATTTGAGAAGGGGCATGCTCACTATTTAACTGTCTCTCTCCCTTAGAAATGTACAAGAGCCACCCATGGTTCTGGAGAGACACAGCAGGTTCTCTTTTCCTCTCTCCCTTTGAAACGTACAGGAGGTATCCCAGGCTCTTGCATATTTCAAAGGGAGAGAGGCAGCAGGAACCCACACCAGCAGAGAGCAAAGCAGTCCCCACTGGTACAGGTTCCCCATGCTTTTTCCTTTGAAATGTACAAGAGTTGTCTGCGGCTCTTGTACATTCCAAAAGGAGAGGCGTAGCAGTGGAACTGGCACAAGCAAGACTAGTGGTCCCCAACACGGTGCCCGTGGGTGACATGGTGCCCGCGGGGGCATTTGTGTGCGCCCGCAAAGTGCTCAAGGCTGGCCTGGCCCCGGGCACGTGGCGCATGCATGGTGCTGGAGCTGGCCCCGGGCGCATGGTGAGCGCCGCTGATTGGCCGCCCGTGCTCTGGGCACGCGGCGCTTGGACGGGGGGTGCCAACCTCGGGTGCGCGGCACTTGCAAGGGAGCTCCGGCCTCGGGAGCGCGGCGCAGGGAGGGGGCACCGGCCCCGGGCGCGTGGCGCAGGGAGGGGCCCCGGGCACGTGGCGCATGCATGGTGCTGGAGCTGGCCCCGGGCGCATGGTGAGCGCCGCTGATTGGCCGCCCGTGCTCTGGGCACGCGGCGCTTGGACGGGGGGTGCCAACCTCGGGTGCGCGGCACTTGCAAGGGAGCTCCGGCCTCGGGGGCGGGGCGCAGGGAGGGGGCACCGGCCCCGGGCGCGTGGCGCAGGAAGGGGGCAGCGCCGGCCCCAGGGGCGTGGCCCTTGGAGGGGGACCCCTTGAAGAGGCAGCAAGGGGAAGGGAAGCAACTAGTTGAGTTCCTACTTGACTACCCGGTAAGCATTTGCTTATCAGGTAGTCGACTAGTCGCTTACATCCCTGTAACAAATTGAATTAAACCTGGGTCCAAGTTTTCATTGTCCTGATGGCCAAATCAACCTGTCCATTACAAAATAAATGAAATGAAGTAATTGAAAAATTACTCCTATACCTATCTTATAGAACTGGAAGGGACCTTTAGAGGTCATTGAGTCCAGTCCCCTGCCCTTGTGGCAGGACCAAGTATGATCCCTGACAGATACACCCCAAATAGCCCCCTCAAGGACTGAACTCACAACCCTGGGCTTAGCAAGCAATGCTCAAACCACTGAGCTATCCCTTCCCCCTCCTCTTTTTCTCATCGACACAGACATAACTCATCTTGTCAACCCCACCATTTACCTCACCGACTCCATCCCATCCACTGAGCTCCCTTATTTTCTCCAATATCCTTTTACTCTCTAGTTCTTTCCCCACACAATACAACTGCTCTATCTTATCTCTAAGATTAATGAATGCAGTATCTACAGTCCTTGTATAACATTCACAGAACACTAGAACTAGAAGGGACCTCGAGAGGTTGAATACAGTCCCGTCCTCATGGCAGGACCAAGCACCATCTAGACAATCCTGGATAGATGTCGGTCTAATCTGCTCTTAAATGTTTCCAGAGATGGAGATTCCACGACCTCCCTAGGCAATTTATTCCAGTGTTTAACCACCCTGACAGTTCAGAAGTTTTTCCTAATATCCAACCTAAACCTCCCTTGCTGCAAATTTAGAGCCTATTGCTTCTTGTCCTATCCTCCGAGGCCAAGGAGAACAATGTATCTCCTTCTTCCTTGTAAAATCCGCATAGATACTTGAAAACCGCTATCATGTATCCTCTCAGTCTTGTCTTTTCTAAGCTAAACAAGTTCAGTTCTTTCAATCTTCCCGCATAGGTCATGTTTTCTAAACTTTTAATAATTTTTGTCGCTCTTCGCTGGACCTTCTCCAATTCTCCTCATCTTTCTTGAAATGCAGTGCCCAGAACTGGACACAATACTCCAATCGAGGCCTAATCAGCACACAGTGGAGTGGAAGAATGTCTTCGTGTGTTTTGCTCACAACACTCCTAATCAGTGCATCCCAGAATCATATTTGCTTTTTTTGCAACAGCATCACACTGTTGACTCATATTTCTGTTGTGGTCCATTATGACCCTTAGATCCCTTTCTGCAGAACTCCTTCCTAGACAGTCACTTCCCATTCTGTCTGTGTGAAACTGATTGTTCTTTTGTAGGTGGAGTACTTTGCATTTGTCCTTATTAAACTTCATCATATTTACCTCAGATCATTTTCTCCAATTTGTTCAGATCATTCTGAATTATGACTCTATACTCCAAAGCACTTGCAACACTCAAGACAGTTGAGACCAAAGCAGACTGTGAAGAGCTTCAAAAAGATCTCACCAAACTAAATGATTAGGCAACAAAATGGCAACTGAAATTTAAGACTGATAAATGTAAAGTAATGCACATTGGAAAAATCATCCCAACTAGACATACATTATGATGTGGATTAATTTGATTACAACTATTCAAGAGAGATCTTGTGGATAGTGGGAAAAAGGAGTTCTCTTGTGGTAGAAGGATCCAAGGAAAACTCTTCTTGTGTTAAATGAAGCCAGGGAAAGTCTACAGAAGAGTGACTGGATGTTTAATGCATTTGGGGAAGCTGCAGAAAGAACATGAATGGAGAGGGAGGTATTTCACACAGAGCAGAAGAGGAGTGCCTCCCCCTCCTAATCCTTTGCTCTTCACAATGCAGGAAAGAAAACATAATGGCACTCCAAGTTCCTTGCTATAACTACGCTTGGAATCAGATAATGTCTCATTTGCATCTTGCTGTTGCTAGAGAATCAGTTCAAGGGATTTAGCTGTAACACTGTATCTCTTCCATTAATTGTAATAGCAGCTCTGAAAATCTCAACCTTCTTCTCTGCTACATGTGAAAAAAAAAAGGAATCTGCAGTGAATAGTATTTTTTGAAACAATCTCTACAATTATTACTGGCCTATTATACCAGAACTCTCAAGCTTTCTTTATTTTGTTGGGGGGTACTGTTTTAAAGCAGATTATTATGCATGGCCCACCTAATCCAGTACCCTACATCAGAAGAGGACAGTACCTGATGCTTCAAGGAAAGTATAAGAAACCACATTGCGGTCACTTATGAAATGACTTCCCCAGAGGATAAGTTTCTTTCTAACTCCTGTCAGTCAAGAAGTTGACTTATGCTCTGAAACCTGAGAGTTTATAG